AAAAATCAAAAACATGTTCTCTAAAATGTGGCATGAGGTAAGACTTCCATATCTATACTGTCATGCAAGAATTGACTCAAAAATACTTCAGTGAAGAAATAAGACAACAGAAAATAGCAAAAGGGCAAACATTGGAAACAAGGAAACTAAATTATCCCTGTTTGAAAATGCCATGACCCATTGATTTAAAGGTCACACACTCTCCAGCAAAAAGTCATGAATCTCACAGGTACCCCTTTCAGTAAAACAGCAGTTCAGAAGAATCAGTTTATTGAAATCATTAGACTCTACATACACCAACAACTGATAGGCTGAGAAGGTCACCAGGGAAACAACTTGTTCATTTACAATAGCCCCACCAATACAGGAACAACCCTAACAGAAGACGTAAAAGACTTCCATATGCAAAAATAAAATAAATAAAAAATAAATTACCCAAAGAAGACGTTATAGGAGAGCAGGATATTGCAAGCTCCTGGTTTAACAGATTTCACATTATAAAAGTTACTACATTAATACATAAAATAAGCACGTAGACAATTTACTATAAGGTTAATAACCAAAGATAAACCATTAAGTTAACGTATTGGAATTTTTCACCAAAATTTCAAAACCATATTCTTATATAGCCTGCCATTTCAACAAATAGTTGTAGTCTCAAAGTCCTTGGCACATTCTTCATACCAGTGTGCTTTCTCTCACAGATGATTTCTTTGGTGTTGCTTTAGACCAGAAGACTGGTAAAAGGTTTTGCCACATTCTTCACACTTGTAACATTTCTCTCCGATATGAACGGTCCGATGTCTAGAACGTGCTGTGTATGTTCTAAAGTCTTTGCCACATTCTTTACACTTGTAGGGTTTCTCTCCAGAATGAATCCTTTGATGTTCTTGAAGACTTTGAGAACTGTTGAGCTGTTTGCCACATTCTTCACATCTATAAAGTATCTCCATATTGTGAAGTAATTTGTGCATAGTTAAGTATGACTTTGTAGAGAAGGCTTTTCCACATTCCTCACATCTGTATGGCTTCTTTCCAGAATGCAGTACCAAGTGACTGGATATTTGCCAGGAGGTGCTAAATACCTCACCACATACCTCACACTTGTAGGGTTTCTTCCCTGTATGAATTCTCTTATGTACAGAACGCAATGATGGGGTATGGAAGGCCTTGCCACACAGTTCACACTTGTAAGGTTTTTCTCCTGTATGAATTCTCTTGTGTGCAGAAAGTAATGGTGAAGCATGGAAGGCCTTGCCACATACTTCACACTTGTAAGGTTTCTCTCCTGTGTGAATGTTCTTGTGGTCAGAAAGTACTGATGGACAATGGAAGGCCTTGTCACATACTTCACACTTATAGGGTTTTCCCCCTGTATGGATTCTCTTGTGTCTAGAAAGTACTGATGGAGCATGGAAGGCCTTGCCACATACGTCACACTGGTAGGGTTTCTCTCCAGTATGAATGTTCTTGTGTACAGAAAGTAATGATGGACAATGAAAGGCCTTGCCACACACTTCACACTTGTAGCGTTTCTCTCCTGTATGGATCCTCTTGTGCACGGAAAATAATGACGGGGAATGAAAGGCTTTGCCACATACTTCACACTTGTAGGGTTTCTCTCCTGTGTGAATTCTCTTGTGTATAGAAAGTAATGATGGGAAACAAAAAGACTTGCCACATTCTTCACACGTATAGGGCTTCATTCCTAAATGTATCCTCTGGTGGTTAGTAAGCTGTGAGCTCCAGTGAAGGGTTTTACCACATTCTTTGACTGTATCCTGTCCGTTGCCTGACAAGTAAAGGATGAAAAATGAATGAAAGCTGAGCAAAATTCTTTATTGCTACTGTGTTTATTTTTAAAAACAAAACAGTTACTCATTATTATACTTGCCTGTCCCTTTGGAAATGATGTACTTAAATCTAAATTTCTACAGCTGCACCCAATGGAGCACAATTTAGAAACACAACAGCTGGAAATCATGAACCTTACACTGAAATAAGAAGACTATGAAAACACAGAATAGAGAAATAAAGGATGATTAATCCAAATCAAACGTGGAAGGAAGGCACAAAACAATCAGAAGACCCTTCTGAGTATTATGCTAATGGAAATCAATCCCTTAAACAATAATATAAATTATTAACTAGATAAACACAAAGGATAAAAGTATTTGAATGTGGAAAACACATTTAAACATAATTTATGTATATAAATTATATGCATGTTATATATATTATGATTATATATTATAATGTACACACATTATATACCTAATTTATATATATTCTAATACAGAGTTTTGTTTTGAAAGGTATGAAAGTTACATTGGATAACCAGAAGACTGTCATTACAATATTAAATAACATATTTCAAAGGTTTAAGATAGGAAGATTACTAAATATTTTATGAGGAAAATAAATACCCAAGACACTCATATTATAAAAAATAAGTCAGGTTCACTAAGAAATGACAGCACTTTGGAGTTACTGTAAACACAGGCTAACCTCATAGGAGGAGAAGAATAAAGTGTGGGAAACTTCAAGCATCATAAACATCTGAGAGATGTCCTCCTTAGAAAGCAAAGGACAGAAAGGGAGATCCCTAAAAAATGATTTCCACCAAAATCTCTTTTCTCAGTTCTAAGGATAAAGCCCGATTTCTGCGGGACCACTGGCCCCCCACTCTGTTCACTGACCCCCCCATCCCTACACACCTGGCTGCGTGGCGGCAGCTGTTTGTGTTTTCCCATCTGAAGGCTCTTGTTTTTGCTCCAGAAATGTCACCAGGTATGGCTTTGATGAAGCAAGACCTGATAGTGTGAAAAGAAAACACCATTGTTAGTGTGTCCGCCTGGGAATCACATGTCCTTCCCAGGACTGTGTGCAGAGGGAATAAGAAGATACAAAAAATGATCACAGAGGAACAACTTTTCATGTGTTATTAACGAGCACATCAGACTGCTTCAGGGGAACTTAGGACTTGAATGTCTTGAGGTTCTTGGCCCTTAGTTACAAGGACAAATACTAAAGCTGATGAGTGTACAATTCTCTTTAACATGGACACACCCTGCTCTTGCAACTAAATTTCTAACACTACCACTCACTGTTGTAAGTACAAATTCCCATCAGATAGTCTACAAAGATAGCAAGTTTCATGCTGACAATTATTAAGAATTTATCACGGAAAAAATCCTCACCCACAAACACAAGATTGTTGTAAATCTCCAATATCACATCCCTGTACAAATTCCACTGAGCAGGACCCAGACATTCCCACTCCTCTGCAGAGAAATAAATGGCCACATCCCAGAACGACAGTATATCCTGAAATAAAGAACAATAAATGAATACCATACATTGCATTTATTAAAACTGTCAATAATAGCACAAATGCCATCAAGAATCATGTGCTTCTGCATACAAATCTAAAAGTCACTGAGAATAAGAAGAGAGCTAGAAATGCTTCTGATATAGGTAAGCAAATATGTCCCTAAAATAAGTCTGATGTAGTACTGTGATGTTATATGGAACTCATCTTTGAACAAAGTGAGGGCAGAAGATCCTAGGAATTCCCATGGACATTATACTTTTAAGAACCATAAAATGGGGAGTATATGGATCTATGAATCATTATGGTGGGGCTAGAGAGATGGCTCGGTGATCATGAGGATTGACTGCTCTTTCAAAGCACCTTGGTTTGATTCCCAGAAGTCACATGGTTGCGGAAAATTGTAACTCCAGTTCCAGAGGCTCAGACAATCTCTTAGACATGGACACTAGCAAAATATCCACACAGAGAAAATAAATAAGGAACAAAATTTTGAAAAAAAATATTCCTCTAGTGTCCCATGTTTGTACTATAATACAACACCTATTATATACATTCCTCACAGTAGGGAGTCACGGTGATGGACAAGGTACTTTTCAACATATTACACACAATCATGAATAAAAAATACGATGAAGATGCAGATCTGATGCAGCACCTCTGGGATGAGGTCTGGGATCCTGAACAGGTAGAGAAGGATGCAAGTAACAGTGTAGCCAGAGACATGAATTTGATCAGACAAAAGGTAGAACAATAAATGAAGATTTCATAGACAAAATGGAATGACAAATATTTTAATAAGTTTATAATTAGGAAATTTAGAAGTTTATTCAATGTGAGGACTTACACTATCCCAAGGCATCCTCAGAGGACCTCATGAAAGAACAATGGGAAATACATTTCTCTTTCCCTGTCCAATAGTGTACTTGTCTGGGCCAGTCAGACACAGGATCCAGTGCCATGAAAGAGCCAATCGGGCATTTACTGGGAGATCTAACTCCAGAGAGTAGGGTTATCAGCCCCAAGGCACCTGTTTCTGAGGTATCCTGTGTTCTTAATACCAACATTGAGTGATTTAGGTGTCTGCTGCCTGTGGCCATTTCCCACTGGTGATACTATATAGCATGCTGGACTTTTTAATGATGGTCCTTGTCTTTGAGTCATGAGTTACTACTGCTTTTGTCTTCTTTATGTCTTTTTTCATCTTTATTTCTCACTCCTGGTGTTCCCATTTGGCACCTAGTCATTTGAAATCCTTATTCCTGTAGACTCAGGTCAGCCATAGCACCTAACATTCCTTCCTGTTGTCTAACTGAACAAGAACATCCAGTAACCAGTGATTCTCCAGGCCTCCTCTTCCTGATGTCACCATCACATCTCTTCCTTGATTTAAAATTCTCCAGATTCAACATGTAACTGACAATGTGAGATTTCTGAGACAGCATAAAGAGACAGAAGACAGAAAAGAGTCAGGAGTCTGAACTTCAACACACAGAACTGTATTTATTAGTTTGAACAGCAAAGAGCAGTCTAAATCCTGTGGGAAACTGGGAGGTCTACCAGGGGGAAAAGGTGGATCTAACATTTACGGTGGTAGAATGAGTGTCCAGGGAATGAGGAAACCGTGACAGCACGAAGCCCACCTTTCTTTCTAGCATTCTCTCCTTCATCACACTGTTTGTCAAAGTTGAGGCCGGCTGACCCAACAGATGTTCTTTTCTAGAATGACTGAGAAGGCTGACACCTGTAATCACACAGGAATCACGTTTCACTTCCAAGTTCAGCTGACCAGTGCTGCTGATCCGAGCTGGAAGAGCTTCTGATACAGTAAGCCTGATAGCACAAGCACATCAGGAGGCACCTGAAGGGAGCCGCTGCCCGTCTCCGTGAGTACTAATGGCTGGTCTCCTCTGTTGTCATTAGCCTCTCTCCTGCCTTGTGTCTCTTCTCTGTGTTCAGAAATCTAACACTATCTATACCGTCGCAAATGACTATATTACATCCTTATGCAGTTGACTAGTATCCCACATTAAACATGTGGACCACAATTCCCTGATTATTTTACTTTTATGACTTTGTTAAAATTCACACAAATTATAGAAATTCATTTCTAGCCTCCTTTGGATGACCTCAACACCACAGAAAAATGAATATAAAGAAAACTGAAGCATGTGTGTCAAAAGAAGGTAGAGCTGTTTTATAACAGAAAAGAATAAAGGAAGCTGGTATGAAGTCAGACACACAAACCTAGTAAAACAACATTTAAGTTTGCCACAGGTAGGCTGACTGTGAGGGTGTGCCTGTGTTTTTCTCCTACAGACCACACGCCCAGTTCTCACAGGAAAAATGAGAGATCAAGATGACATCATCCCCCAAAACACTGCACATTCTGTAGAAATGTTTACCAAGAGATGAACAAACCAAGACACAGATTTCAAGGTACAATCATTAACTTCATCAAAGACTACCAAAAAAAGTCTAAGGAGGACATGAAGACACATCCCAATGCCTTTAAAGACAATGAACATAAGGAAGATAGATGTCTGGGTTATGCCAAAGAAAATAAAAACATAAGAATGATATAAATGACAAAAATAATCCATCATTTGAAGCTGGAATTCAATAAATGGAAATATTGAAGAGGACTCTAGCAGGAAAGGAGAAGGAACTGAAACGCCCAGTAATTCAAAAAGAAAACTCAGAGGAAAGACTTACAATAGGATGAATCTAGCAGCAGATAGGATGTCAGAATTCACAGATAAAATTGAAGATCTGGATGAAATAAGCTAAGAATATGAAATACTAAGAAGAATAAAAAATCTGCAGGAAGGAAAGATAGGAATTATAAGACACTATGAAAAGAAAAAACCCTCAAATTATTGGCACAGATGAAGAAAAAAATCCCCAGGCAATGCCATACACAAGATCTTCAACAAGATCATAAAAGAAATCTTCCATAAACTAAAGAAATACACACCCATACAAATATAAGGAGGAGAAAGAACACTAAATCAACAAGACTAGAAAATATGAGCCTCATGATATACTAAAATCTCTAAGAAAAAGAGCACATTTATTTGTATAACAGCCTGTAGCACATATCAGAGACAGATATTGGGGTTCAAGGTGAAGATCAGAAAAACAAAGCAGCCAACCACCAGAGAACCCCTTTACCTCTGCCAAATCTTCAGACCAAAAGGATGAGACCCTGTCTTCACAAATCCTCAAACTCCACACTTGAGTGAGTTCCCGTCTCTTCCTCTTTATACTCCTTTCTCTGCTCAGCCACATCACTCCTATCCCCACCTCCCTAGTGCTGGGATTAAAGGTGTGTGACTCCCAAACACTGGGATTAAAGATGTGAGCCACCATCACCTGAATCTGTTTCTGGATGCTTTTTGTGTAGCCCAGGATAGCCTTGAACTCACAGAGTTCTGACGGCCTCTGGGTGTGTGCACTCCCTCGGCTCTAGTGGCTTACTTAGCTTTGTCCTCTGATCTTCAGTCAAGCTTTATTTATTAAAATATAAATAAAATATCACTACAACAGCCAGTCTCTCAATGGAAACTCTGAAAGCCAGAAGAGATTGGAGAAATGCATTCCAAATATGAAAAGACCATAACATCCAAGCTGAGCTACTATCCAAAGCAAAACTTGCTGTCAAAGTTGAAGTAGAAAGAACTATCCACAATATAAAGAGTATTGAAAAAATTATATCCTACCAACCAATCCACATCTCATTCTTCACAGAAGTGAACAGTATCAAAAGTTCATAAACAATCACAGAAGATGTTCACGTAGCCAGAGCCCAAACAATCTTGAGCAAAAAGAGGAGGACCACTCATGACCTCAAGATACAGTGCAGAGCCAAAGTAATAAAAGGGAAAAATGGAACCACCACAGAAAACAAATATGTAGACCAGACAAACAGAACAAAACTGAATTGTTAAACATGAGCATAGATAACTTTGGCCTTTTAAAGGTTACAAAGATGCCAACGACATCCACTGGAGAAAAGAAAGCATCTTCAACAACGAGTGTTCCTGAGAAAATAGATTTCCACTTGCAGAAGACTGAAATTACATCTGGATCTATCACTGTATAGGAAAAATAACACAGACCGACCAAATACCGAAGGGGTAAAAACCTGAACCCTAACACTGACAGAAGGAAACACAGGAGGTAGCGCATATGAAATAGGTGTAGGGAAAGACATTGTGAACAAGACTTGATTTGCTCCAGAAAAAAAGTTAAGTACAGCTACAGTAATAATAATTGGGGAAAGAGGAAGCCACAGAATAGAAGAGAACTTTTGCCAGTTATACACCTGACAGTGGAGTAAACTCCAGAATATACAAAGAATGCAAAAAACAGAATCCAAAAACAACAACAATTAAACAAAGGGCCCATTCTCAAAATGAGCCTGGAACCTGAACAGAGAATACTCAAAAGATGACAAAAATGTCAGAGAAATATCTCAAAAATTGTTCAGGTACTGATCGATTAAGGAAACACAAGTCTAAACAATTCTGAGAGTTCATCTTACCCCAGTCAGAACGGCAAAGATCAGCAAAGCAACTAACATGCAATGCTGGAGAAGGTGTGGGGAAAAGCGAACCTTTATCCACTTTTGCTGGTATTGCAAACTATTTGCCACTCTAGAAATCAGAAAAGAGAAATTCCCAAAGCTAAAAAATAAATCTCCTATATGCCCCAACTAAACTACTCTGTAATATTCAAAGATCCTGACATCCAATTCCCAGACAGTTTCCTGGCCATGTTCATTGCTGTTCCATTCCTAAGAGCCAGGAAAAGGAAATGACATAAATATCCTTCAACTGACAAAACAATAATGAAAACGTGGTGCACATCCATTAGGGAATACTGTGCAGCCGTAAAGAAAAATGGAATTCACCGGTAAGTGGAACGAGAAACGATCACATTGAGGCAACCCAGAAGCAGAAAGACAAACATTCCATGTCTTTTGTCATCTGAGGCCTCTAGATGAAAATCTTCATGCTTTTTATGTATACTGAAGTAACTGCAGAAACCTGGAATGTAAAAAATGACCTTTGTGGGATGCGTAGTGCGCACAGAGGTCTTTGTCTGCACATATGCACTTGAGGAGCCTGGCACTTAAAGCATACAGGGTTCTTCCTTCAAGGGAAGGAATGCAAAACCCATTTTCTGTCCAGAAGCCTACAGCAGATTTCAAGTCTGTCGACTTTGTTCTATCTATGTGGCTAGAGCTGATGCTTCCAGAGACCCTCCTGCAGACCCTTGGAAATTAGTTTATCTCATCCATCCTTCAACCCGTTTTTCTCATTCAATCTATAGCGTTACAGAGAGTATCCCTGTAGTCACATATGTTCTGTATTTAGTTTACGTTATTCATCAATGCAATTTATGTATACTCTGTTATGCATATGGGCTTGGGTTAATTATCACCAGAAGAATTTTCACTTAATTGTGCTTGTGCATAAATGTGTCTAACGTAACACCCTGGGGGCACACTCCTGACATTTGAACTAACACCTGCTACTGAATGCTATTGGGTAGAACTGCCTTCCTGCTTTCCCTGCCTAGTTATTTTGCTAACTATGATGTTCACAAACACCCCTGCAGGGTGCTAGAGAGTAGTGACAGAGAGAAGACAGGGCGGATGTGACTTCATGAGGGAAACTGAGAAGAACACTGGGACACTGATTATGGAGAGACATGACATAGAAGGTGACAAGCGTCCTTGATTCAGTGACAGAAATTTTTAACTCAAAACTGAAAATGATTCGAACCCAGACTTCTCAGGATTATTCCTTTCTTGGTTTTGTTTCTTTCGTTGCCAACTTACCACAAACAAAACAACTGAATAGTTTTTGACAGAGTCTCCAAGGACAAATTGAAACACACTTTTCAACTCAAAACATATCACTGCACTTGCAAAGTGTCCTTAGACTCACTGACTGAAACGCTCTGATGGAGAAGGCGGGTGCTTTCCCACTTCCCATACAGCTATGAGTTTCCCTAGAGATCAGCAACATTAACCAGAAGTCTCTATTATTTTAAATATGGATGGAAACGAACTGAAAATTCCAAGAGCTAAAACAAGGTGGTCTGAAGCCCATGTTTACTAAGAATGCACTCCAATGCCATCAGCCAGGCTCCAGCGCACAAATACCTGGCTTGACATACACTTGGGCAATATAAGAGCACGTGAGCTAGGGGGAGTGGCTGTGGAGGAAAATTACTGAAAAGAAGCTGTGTCTGGTGTGACGGAAAACTCTTGGGAGGAGTCTGTGTCTGCAGAGACTGAAGGGCTATGTGGAGATTCATTACTATGGGGAGACTGGAATATTGCAGGTTCAGAGAGTAATTACCTTTCCTTGGGCTGGTTTTATCCTTCAGAAATGTTCATTTCTTCTATCACTCTGTGGTGGACCAAACAGCTTATGACAATAGATGAAAGAGACTGAATCCACTGACTTGGCAGAATGCTAGCTTCCATCTATTCAAGAGTCAAGAATGTCACCAGATAGTGTCTTAAGCAGACAGAATAGGTCCCCTATCTCATAGTATCTATCAATGTATTTTAAACTTGTCTTGATTAATATCATTCTTTGTTCTGTAAACCTATGAAACTGTTTCCACATTGGAACAAGTTATTTGGGATAACCAAACTCTTTGTCCCAAGGGTATGGACACCCAAAAGACTCCAGACAAAGCTATCCCGTTTTCCCGTTAAGATGAGAGCAGCAGTTTTCCCATGAACAGAAAGCTTCTATATGCAATCCAAAGAACCTTCCGTGAGCGGCAGCCTTCCAAATTTATCTTTAGCTCACCACGATAACTTTGGCAAATCTTTCTAGACTATTCGAGGAGCATCAGCGGACCTGGATGCCACATTCAGTGACTGAGCATGTTTACTGAGTGCAGACAATGCTGATAAAAGGAAGAGATAGAAGAAAAGCATGTAATGAGAGGACAACATACAGTACCTGCCAGAATAGCAGGGCCGTTTTTCCCCTCCCTTACACAGACATTCAAGCCTCCTACTGTCAATCATGAGGCCCATTTCTCTCATCACATCAAGTCCTCCCTCACATCTGAAAAGGAGTCCAAACTTCTGACGCCACACAGTCTCAAGCAATACTGATGTGGTACTATTGCCTAGTCTCTTTCACTATGCAGTGTAAAATCTGTTATTATGTGGATTGCACAATGACACGTTAATACCAATTACAAGATTATTCTGTGGCTATTCGGGGTGTTAATGTGATGGTTCAAGTCAAGGCTTGTACATCAGGAATTCCTATTCAATCAGAGGCATCCATAACAAATCATGCCACAGGGGAACAACTAACCTTCCATATAACAATAGCCCTCACAGGCCTCTGTCTCTGGAAACTCGGAACGATAGGAATCTCTGTGAGCTTAAATCAGGAGCAGTAGGCTGACCATAGAGGAAAGGAGAAAAGAGGTCTAGAAGTCCTGAGAATTATGATTACCGTTATATGAGCAAGGGTCACGAGGGAGAGCATGCTTCCCAGGCAAGCAGGAAAGTAGTTCCCTTCACTCCTTAGACCTGAGCAGTCACAGACCTTCTCTGCCCTAGCAACCTGGTTCTTTCCAATTTCCATTCCTAGTCTACTGAGCCAGCCTGGCAGTCCCAGAAGCAGAGGTGGGCTCGGGCAGCAGGGGCGCCCTAGGAGACTGGCCACTTACAGCACATGGCTTTGGTGTGGCGCCCTCTCTCCTCAAACCTGCACCCAGGTGCTGTGGCCCAGCCTAGGTCAGCACAGCATCTCCAGGTCAGCTTCTCCCGCCTCCCTGCTAAGCAGCCCAAGTCAGCTCCCTCCATGCCGGACCCGCCACCTTCCACAGTCCCTCAGATCTGCAGGACGGCGCTGCACCCTGCACCAACCTCCATGTCAGGGATCCAAGCCCAGAGCTGAACAGGACACTCGCCTAACTTTGGGAAGAAGCTAAGTTTCAAGACTGAACGCGGAAGTATCCAAGACCCGTCTTGTGTTGTCATCGTGTTTGGAACCACATTTCCCATAAGTCAGCGCGAACAACTTCCGGGATCGCATAAAAGGTGATTTGTACAGTGCCTGTGTTCAGTCCAACTGCTTGCTGATGAAGTTGTGAAGAAACAGGCTTGAGCACAGGGACCCCCACAGTGGGTCAGGCTATTTCAGTCCTGCGATCTCAGCACCCGGTGTTAGCCTGTGAGCCGAGCCTCTCACAGTAATGTTTACCACGTTTCCTAATTATTTCCGCTAATACCTGTCAGTTTAAAGCTCAGCTCTACTTATTTTGGGATCTTACTACTGCGTGAAAACTAAGACTAATCTGTTTTACTTAAAAATAAGGAAGCAGGAAGTTAATGTAAAACTTAGCACCATCTCTTCAAGATGCCTTTTGAAACCATCCTTGGTAACCCCGCCTGCCATGCAGTATCTTGGGTGATTAAGACAGAAGAATCAGAAAACAAGACTAACAAAGGGCTAACAAAGACAACTTATAGACACATTTGTCTAAACACAGTGTAGGATGCCTATCATCTCCAAAGTAGATTGGTGCTGTCATTAGCAGACATGTCTTATTGTAATTTAAAAAAAAAAAAGGAACCTTTGCTATTAAAACATCTTAAATGTCATATTCTGTAGATTTCTGAAGTGTTTGAAGATGACCTGTCTATCAAAAAATATATCTGTTTGGGAGGTAGAGGCAGGCAGATCTCTGTGAGTTTGAGGCCAGCCTGGTCTATAAGAGCTAGTTCCAGGACAGCTAGGGCAGTAACACAGAGAAACCCTGTCTCAGAAAACACACACACACACACACACACACACACACACACACACACACACGCCCATTTTACCTGTTAGGCTGAGAAAAGTAAGTTTTAACAAATGGTTGAATATGTGGATTGACTGAGTGATAGGTTGATTTTTTCAGACAGGGTTTCTCTGTGCATTCATGACTGGCCTGGAACTTACTTTGTATACCAGGCTGACCTTGTACTAACAGAGATCCGCCTGCCTCTGCCTCCTAAGAGCTGGGGTAAAGGCGTGTGCCACCACTGTATGACTATATTTATTTTTAAAAACAGAGACATTTACGCATGCCTGCATCTTTCAATGTAAATAATATGCTACATATAAATTTCTAAGGCTGTATTCAGTAGAGCCTAATTTAAAAAATTTTATAACAATAAAAAAACCATGATAGGTGGAAATTAGGTAACTTGCAGTGAAAGAAGAAGACCATGACAACACAGAACAAAGAAACCAGGGAGTACTAATCAAAGTCAAACATGTAAGGAAGGCATAACACCAACAATTAAGAAAACAAAACTATTATGTTATTGTAAACAAGATGCTTAAAGAAATATACAAATTTTATGACTAGATGAACACAAAATATAAAGTAGTCCCGGTTGGAAAACATTTGTTTTTGCAGTTCATATATATCCTAAATGCAGACTTTTAGTTTTGGAAGGTAGGAAATTAAGGTTGCAAAGCTAGAAAACTGTCCATAACAATGTTAAATAATATATTTCAAAGATTGAAGACAGGAGGATATATTCACATTTTATGAATCAAGATCCACTGACCAACTTATAAAAAATAAATTATATTCAAATGAGAGTTAGAATTTAGAGAATTTAGGCAGGTACTGTAAACTTAAGGTGATCTAATGGCAGGACAAGGCATAAGAGAATCAATTCACCATAAACAGCCTCTTTCCACGGCAAAAGATAGAAAAGAAAATCCTTAAAACATGATTTCTATCAGAATCTTGCAAATCAGTATCTGTGATACAGCCAGGCTTTCTGTTGGATCTCTGGCCTCCCACTCTGGCCTCTGTCCCCTCATTCCTACACACCTGTTTCCAAGGCAGCTGCTGCTTGTCTCTGCATATCATAGGCCTCGTCTTTGCTCCATGACCAGGTATGGTTTAGAGGAAGGAAGACCTGCTTATGAGAAAAGAGAACGTTATTAGTGTTGTCCTGAGGATAATATGTCCTCTCTCAGACTGAACGAATAAGGAATGAGGAGATATAAACAAGGATTGTAGGATTAGTTCTTCATGTGTTTCCTGATGGGCACAACAGAATGCTTAGGAGGGATTTACGATGTGCAGCCTGAGCTTCATGTCCCTCAGTTACAAGGAGAAATGTTAAAACTGGAGAGTAGGATATCCTCTTTAACATGTGTGCTTCCCACTCAAGCCACTGAGTTTACAGCATTACCACCAAGATAAAGGAGACCTCTACAAAGGATGAACTCGAGAAGAAATAAAATCATTCTAAGGCATGAATACTCTCCTTAATTTTCCCTAAAATTTGCCCCATAAGTTTCATTGTTGGGAGCGCCAGCACCCTAGAGACACTGTAGAAAGTAAGCGAGTTTATGCCGACAGTTAATTAAGAGTTCACGATGGAAGTGTTCCTCACCCAGTTGAGGAATACTATTTCAAGGTACGTTACTTTTGTTTAAGCTCTGGAACATTTGTTTAATGATACAGAGATATGTTACATTTGTTTGATTAAATATAATTCACCTGAGGTCAGGAGGCTGAGTCGGGAGCGAGCTGACAGGAATTGGTACAAAGGAGCCAGGTGGAGAAGGGTTTTTAGGTCAGGATGAGGAGAATGAGGGCTTTTAGTAGACACGAGCAGAAGAGGAGGTGGTCTACTTGCTATTCAGCCTCTCTGAGGAGAACAATTCCACCTCAACCTCCGAATCTTGAGTTCTTTAGAAGGACAGAGATTTAGATAAGTTCCCAACATAGCTTTGAAAGAGCAGCACATGAGGGGACTTTCCCCCTGGCTGCAGCTTTTGTGACAAAAATCACTGCTGGAAGTGGAAGAATTGCAGTTCCCGATTAGGACAGCCTTGACTTAAAAGGCAATGACAATTTAAAAAGAGGACAACACACCCAGGGACACAAAGTTGTTGAAACTCTTTCCAACATCACAACCCAGTACAAATTCCACTGATCAGGGCCCAGTCATTCCTCTGCAGAGAAATCAATGGCCACGTCACTGAATGACACCATTTCCTGAAATAAAGATAAAGAAATGAATACTGTATATTATAAAAATTGAAACAGCAATGAAAACAAATAAAGAGAGGAATATACACTTCTGCACATTAATCTAAAGGTCACCCCGAGTGAGAAGAGAGCTAGAAGCGCATCTGATATAGGCGAGTTCTATCCCTAACATTAGTCTGATGCATTGCTGTGATTTTGCACAGGACTGATCACTAAGGAAAGTGAATGGCAGAAGATTCTAGGAACTCCCGTGCATATTATACTTTTAAGAATCACACAATGGAGAGCAAAAGTTTCTATAGAAGAGTACTGTTGCAGCTGAAGAGATGGCTCAGTAGTAAAAAGCCCTCGCTGCATTTCCAAAGGACCTGGGTGGATTCCCAGCAGCCACATGGCTGCCCACAGCTGTCTGTAACTCCAGTTCCAGAGAATCCGACAAACTCTTAGACAAAGACAATATTAGTATAACCATGCACACAACTTAAATAAAATTTTGAAATAAGCATTTTTGTCCCATGCTAATATCACACTACACCACACATAATGTACATTTCTCACATTAGAGAGCCATGGTGACGGAGAGGGTGCCGCTCAACTCAATATGAACAATAACAAATGATAAATTCAATGAAGATGCAGCTCTAATCCAGCACTCTGGGCTGAGGTCCAGAATTCCTGAGCATGCACAGACTGATGCAGATGACCGTACCAACGGACATTAGTTTCAGTAACCAAAGGACAGATATTTTTAAACAAATTTATAATTAGGAAATTTGGCAATAAGTTTAGTCACTATGGGGACTTTCACTGACCCAAGACTTTCTCAGATGTTTTGGTGAAAGGACCAAGGAAATGATGTAAAAGGCACAGCTTGCGGAAAGCATTACATGAACCAGAACTGTTAAACATGAAGGATTTTTTAAGTGAAGGAAATGACTGATGTCTGGTCACTAGGAAGTAGGAATGGATGTTGTCTCACACCCAGGTGAGCTTCTGCTAGTCTATAGATCCACTGTCATCTGAATCTCGCCACCACCCCAATCTTGAACATTGTTCAGTCGTCTCTTTGTCTCTCAGTGCATAAAATCCATCTTTATGAAAGAGGTCCTATGTAATTTGCATTTGAGTCAATTAAATACATGTCCGTCCTCCTTATCCTGATCTCTGTTTCTCTGTGAACAAGACCCTTTCTTAGGGTAAAGGTCACAGGTGCCTCACCAAAGAGATGTACATTGCAATGGAGTTTCAACGTAGCCACATCTAAATGTTTGCCAGGATAATTTTCAAATGGAAACCTTTTCCACAACTTTTACTCTGTTTAACTGAGTAAGAAAAATAAATGGTTTGGTCAAAACCAAGAAATTTTTGCCCCAGCACTGGCTAAAGTGGTGCTGACCCCAGTTTCATTCTTCACTTCACATAGACCATTTCTGTGCCAGCCATGAAGCTTGCAGGGACCTGACAATGGGGGACTTGGTCCTAGAAGTTAAGGGAGTTTTTCTTTCAGCAGAAATTAGGGGCAAACTGACAAAAGAACTCACTTAAAAGGGTCCACAATCTTAAATGGGAGAGTGGGATAAATATAGGTTCATAGTATTCTGTGCCAGGGACAGTGTTTTATCTATTTATTTGTTGTAAGGTGTCCTTCTATATGATGTTACTGTGTTTCTCTTATTGGTTGATGAAAAGAAGTTTTTTCATCCTATGGCCATGCAGAATATACCTAGGTGGGAAATCCAAACAAAGACAGAAGACGAGAAGGTGAGGGGGGCAGAGGAGCAGGGAAGAGATGCCATGTACCCTCTGGGGAACCAAGATGTGAAGTAAAAAGCCACAGGCCCATAGGTCTCACTGTAAAACATAAACTAATAGGAATGGGTCAAGAGAGCAAGCGAATATGAAGCCCAGGCCACTGGTCAAACAACTGTAACTGATATTAAGCCTCAGAGTGGTTATTTTACAAGCAGCTGTGGGGGCCTGGTGAGTGGAGAAAAAAGTGGGATGGGCGAGATAGGGAAGAAAAATCTCCATTTCCATTTGGTACCAGATATCTGGGTAACCCAAACATTCAGACAAAGTGGCCCCAGCACCACTTTGCATCCTGGGGCGTCTAAGCTTGCTTGGGTTTCGGGGGAAAGCAACTGAGAGCTCAGTACTCCGCACTTCCGCAACTGGCTTCATTGGGTCTGCTAGGTGTGCACAGGCAGAAGAGCATGGCGGATTCCCGCCATGGTACATGGAGACACTTCCTAGCCATGCAGCGAGTTACATGACAGATTTCGCTTTTACACGCAAAAAAGATATATGGGCAGCATGCTGTACACTGCTTCCCAGGGATGGTGCTGACCATACCTCCACCATATTAGAAGGCTGAGAGAGGCAAAGTCAGCATTTGGGGCCACTACAACTGTGTCTTTTTACTGTTTTAAAAGTGCTCTTACTCAGAAAATGATTTCAGATACACAATGGGGACAGACTCAGACAAAAAAATACCTCTAAACAGGTCACAGTGTGTTTAAAAGATGTACATAAGCTTGTGTGAAAGACAAAAGGATAGAGGCAGTCAAAGATTACAAAATAACTTAGGGATAATAAACAAAGGTTCTTAAAGGAAAAATAAAATTAAAAAGTATAAGTCACATAAAGATAAAAAATACACAGAGAGTCTGCATTATGTATATTATTATGCTTTCTTTAAATTCTTTTTTTTTTTTTACTTCTGGGGGCTGCTAAACTAAGCCAACATATATATTTTAAAGGTACTTTGACTCCAAAATTTGAGTCTAAGACTATGCTGCTTTGGAAAAGAGGCTACTTTTGTTCCTACAGAAGATGAGAACCTATGGATTCCTGCCAGACTAATGTGGTTTGATGGAACAAAACCACCCTGAAATGTCTCTGTGAACCCTAAAAATATTTCAACCTACAAACAGCAGAAAGTAGTTTGGATAAAACTATGGTCAAATTACCATAATGATTGTTTATAAGTTCTTGTTTTCATTTAAAGGAGGGTTGGTTATAAGTTATTAATGGTCACAGTCAAACTCTTTCTAAAAAAAGGAGGGAACATGATACAGAAATAAGTGCTTTACATTAGTATGGATTTTGGCTTATTGATACAAATTTAAGGTCAATTTTGCTACACTGTATGTGTATATATATATATACATATATGTATATATACATATATTTCTACTCTTGTTTAAGGTATGATGTTTATGTAGCTCATTTAAAAATGAAACATATAATTAAGAAATACAGATTAATAGTCATCTATAAAAATCAAACTTCTGGTCATATTAGGTTTTCTAGATATAAAGAGATCTATTTTAGATAGATAATATTCAATACTTCAAAGACCTATGGAATATGGCATTTAAAGTGTTTTAAAACTTAGTCTTTTCTTGACAGTGAGACATGTCTGCTTAAAGAGGATGACAGGCATTAAAGAAACTTGTTTTGGAATTGGCATTCAATGTGACAAGGCTAGCCATCTGGGCAAGAAACAGCTCTTAGGTAGACGGCTTGATGGTATGCTGTATGCACTGGACATACAGGACCTTCAGGAGAGGATGGCTAAACTTGTCAAGATAGGATAGATGGTTCTTCAGGACTAGTGTTTCACAGAGGAAACTGACAGACATTCTGCAGGACAAGGAAGAAAGCAACTGACCAACTTTGCTAGCACAAGGCAGAACAGATTTTCAAATTTCCTGCTTCACTGAAAAGTCTGCCAGTAGGCTAAAGATGGATGCCCCAACATTACAAAAACTTTGGGTGACTGTCCAGGTAGTGAGTTGTCTGTCAATTCTAGAGTTTTGGAACTGCTTACAATGCACTTCCTGTTTACTTGGTAATAGTTTATGTGGGGTCCTTGATGGACTTAAAGACTAGATACTTAGAATTATAGTTTTCCTTATTTATGATAGAGCATAAATTAGAAAGAGAGCTTTGGACTCTAAAAGATAGGATAGATGATAGAGTATTTTCTTTAATTTGTCAAATATAAATAGACTAAATATTGCAACTGTAATTCTTGTTTGATATCTGTTCTGTCTTATACATATAATTTTACTATGTTAAAGTTAATATCTTTCTTTTTAATTAGACAGAAAATAGACGATGATGAAGGATGTCCTTCTGTATGCTGTGACTACAAGTTTCTTTTATTGATTGATGAATAAAGCCATTTCAGGCAATGGTCAGGCAGAATATACCTACATGGGAAATCTAAACAGAGATATATAGAGAAGGCAGAGGAGGAGACTCCATGTAGCCAGTGGGGAAGCAAGATGAGAAGTAACAAGCCACGAGCCCAGGAGCATTGTGGAAAAAAACAAAGTAATAGAAATGGGTTAACTGAAAAGAGAGAGCTAGCCAGTAAGAAGTCTAAGACATTGGCCAAACAATTGTAACTGATAGTAAGCCTTAGAGTGGTTATTTCACAAGCGGTTGATGGGAGACGGCAGGTGGAGAGTAACTGGTCCAGCGGGACTGGCAAGGTGGAGAAAAATCTCCTAAGATCCAAAGGAATAAAATACTCAGAGTAATAATTCTTCCACTTTATACTCAATAAATAAAGATATATAATATAAAGAGGCCATGAAGGAGGAGATAAATATCCTTGTTGATTATTTTTTTAAACAATAGAAAAGAGAGACAAACAAAACAAAACATACACAAAATAAACAAACAAAAAACCTTTTTTTTTTTCTCCTGCTGAACACATCTTGGCAGGACACAGCAAGACTCAGCAGCTGCTTGGCTTCCAGGCCAATCAAGTTTGTTCAGTCTTCCTGAAAAATCTGATTGGAACTCAAAGCCCTCTGGCCATGTGGCCCTTTCCGATCACTGCAATGTAGAGAGTGGCCTCTGTCTCACCCCAGTTCCAAGGGTTGATGGGGTTCTGCTGCTACAGTATGGGCCAGGCTGGCTGCCCCAGAGCTTAGATTTTATTGCTGTTGTTATCTGCTTATTTTTGTTAGTTTCCTTTTGTTTTTCCCCTA